ATCCTCACATCTTATACAGGTCCATTGACTTGCATTAGACATGAGCATGCCGAGGGACACTCTATAGCCGGAGCAGAGGGGGAGAGAGGCAAGTGCTGACTGCCACAGAACCAAGGATCAGGTAAGTAATTATGCTTTGTTTGAGTCCCCTAAACAAAATGAGCACTTAGCCCTTGCAGTGTGGGGATAGCCCCAATGCAAGGGTAAGTTTTGTTTTAATTTGTCTGGAGTTCTATGCCTCTGTAAGGGAGTAGCAGCACACAGAGCCAGTCAGGTGTGCTGCAATGCAAGGAGTATTGTAGGATAGTAGGAAAGGGCAGAGTGACAGAGAGATAAGCTGATTAGTTTCCTGCTTCTTTTTTTACTGTCCAGCCACAGTGTGGGGATAGCGAGGGGACCTGTAAATGAAAGCAAACCTGCAACATTCAAAAAATGATTTTCCCTTCTCTGCTAGATAAAGCTGTGATGCATTGCAGAGCTGTGTAAATCTCTGAACTGGATGACCAGAAATACAAATCGTTTGGCGGGTAAAACAGCGCTTATATGTATGTCATCTGTGTATTTAGCGGTTTGCCTGGAGCTCCACATTAAGGTATTTACAATACAAACAACCTGCTTGTAATCTTTCCACAGTCTGCAAATGATCTTTCATCCGGTACCATACCACAGAGGGCTCTGGCCTTCTGACTGCACTTGCAATGGAGAACAGAGGGACACCAAATGAAAATTCCATCCTCAGTCAAATATTCATCTGATTAGTGTCATCATATGAATTTATAATGTACAAATATCTTCCAATGTGGCCACCTCAAGCTTAGTGCGCTAATACATAGAAATGGAAGGCAGCCTAATGTATTCGGAAGGATGACATCACTTATGTGAGCAGACACACTTATTATGGTAGCACACATGTTGATTCATGGAGAACAAGATCTCTCTTTGTCAAAAGTGATCTGAGAATAGAATTGTTTCCTTCAAAACATTATTGTGCTGCCAGATGTGTCTGCATAAATAACTGACTTCACCAAGTCACTTTCTATGACGGGACCCCTCTAAGCTGCGCAGACCGGACTAAATGAAAAAAAAAACAACCTTTAATATTCAAGCATCGCTATGAAATAAACACCCTGAATGGCAGAAACAGAAACCCCCAGAAAGACATCATTGGGGAGATCTACTCCCATATTTGTCCAAAGATAAACCTAAGACCAAAAATGCAATTATTTGCAGCTTGTCAGTCCTTTGATGGGGTGGTTGCATTACTTTTTTTCCTGTTCATCTTGCCAGAAATCCAGAGTCTTTGTAATTTCCTGTGCACTCAACTAATACTTTAAACAATGTTAGTAACTTCCCCAGCTATCTTGTAAACTACAAAACAACTACACGCTATGTAATGGAAATGTGGGTAAGGGGTTGTTTGTAGTCCAAATATGGAGAGCAGCCAAGGGTGACAACACTGCTCCTCCACAGATACAATGCAGTGAGTAAGTGTTGTCACCCCTACACAAGAAGTGTGTTACAAGCAGGACCACCAGAACAAAATGAAGGGAAATAAGCAGAAAAAGGAAACAAATGCAGCCACCGCACAACAAGGACTGATAAATTGCAAGATATTACATTTTTGTTTTGGGATGTAGCTTTAATGCTGACAACTGTCACTGGGACAGAAAGTTGGAGGAAATTCAACATTTTACAATTGAAAGCTACTTTAAAAGGGAAATCTTCCAATGGAGACATATGTGCTGGTGAAAACTGTCTAGGTTGCAATTTCCCCTCATTTTGGGGAGTAACTTCCTACCATGGCTCGGAAACAAGAAATGGGAAAAAAGGGCACAGACAGGAATAGATACCTTGCAAAGGTTATAACCCTTCCGTACTCCACCCAAAACAAAAAGACTTGACTGATGTTCTACCTTTTTTTACACCTTCATTTTTATTCAATATATTGTTAACATTAAGAAATAACACCCAAAACATTTTACAGCCTATGAATATTTTTTTCATATTGATGGAGCCATGTTATTGCCATTTTGAGATATACATTTTAATAAAACTTGCTTTATGGAGAGCACTATGTTTGGATGTCATTTGTCTATTACATATAAATGACATATAATATGACATAAAACTGCGGTATAATGAAAGACTAAGAGAGAGAATCTATAAATGGATATGCACAATGGTGGAAGGGAGTTGGTCACTATTAAAGAGAGGTGATGATTGCACGGGGATGATCTCATTTGGACAACACTCACATTGTATTGGATTCCAACATTTAGGTATTTCATACTATTGACTTGGACTATTGAAACCATTTCTTCTCTTTTGTATATTGGAGTATATAATATTAAGCACTTTACATGTATTAGTATTGCACTTCTTTCTTTAATGTTTACGTTGATGTATGGTCACATATGAATTGTGCTGGCAGGCTTGAGCACAGGTAAGTCAAGGTCAGATTAAGGTAAGCTATTAGTGCAGATGTATTACTACAGTATTCATGTACCATTATATGTGTCTATTGAATAATGAGCTAGCACATAATACACTCAATACTACATACAAGTACCAATCATCATCGATCTATATATACATTATGTAAAGGTGGAGTTTGGGTCTGCATAACCTTCTCAGTTCAGTGGTTATTTACCCGAGAGGAGAGGTTCTTTCTACCATGCCGTTGGCTCCAGTTGGTTCGAAGATTTCAAGGGGGTTTGAATACAAAATCACACACACATGCCTATTAGGCTCTTATGGTGAAATTTGCAATCTAAAGCTCTTGGCCTGCCCACCTCCCAATTTTCTGCTGCTGTTTTCAGTGCCAAATTTTTTAAATGAGTCAGTAAACAAATTACATAACGTCAGTGTACATATTCACGTTTTTGAGTTTTGATTTGATTACATCCTTGTAATAAAATTATAAAATGCTGGATTTTGTTTTGTTTTTCTGAAAAAAAAGTCTTGACGCACATAACAGCATAAAAATCTCATTTATTTTAAGCACAATCATATATTGCTTTTGTTTTTTCTCCAAAAATATTTATACATTCATTGGCTCTAACAGCTGCAAAAGATGAAAACAGTAACATTGTTTTGGGTTACCTAACACATTTCTACACTGAATGGTAGGTTAAATGTATGATCCACACACATACCATGCAATATTTTTTTTCTTTATGTATATTTTTTTGGGGTAAGTCCTTACAGAAAAAATATGTACTATAAAATGTAATATATGAAGGAGTGGAAACAATGCTTGTGGGCTTAATTTGGATTTTCCAGCTTCATCTTATCACAGTGAGAACCCAAATTCCATCTCTGGAAGAGTTTGGGCAGAGAAATTCTGCTTTGTTTTAACAGCCATCATTGCATTCAACAACTAAAGAGGGTAGATAAGATTCAGATGCTCAGACAAATCTAAAGCTGTTTTTTTTTCTAATAAGCAGAGCAACTGATCAGAGATGAGCCATGAGGGAGGTGACCCTGATGGTAACCCATTAGCCAGTAAGATGAGAGTTTCACAGTGACAAGGTACAGATGGAATTGTTTTTCAAAATTCACAAGTAGGAGGTTCAAGAGAACAAAGACCATCACTTAAGTTGGGCTAGATAACTAACAGATAATATTTCACAAAATATTGAATCAGGCAACAATCCACAGTGGCCTGGCTTTGTGACAGGTAGGCAAGTTATTTATCATAAGTAATTCGTTTCACGACTCTTAAAAATATTGGGCATAGGGGTTAGTGAACAAACCATGTGAATCCAATCTCTAAAACAGCATGATACAGTTGGTCCAAGATCAAGAACAGATGGACATTAAAATGTTCATTCACCTTGACTTTTCATTTTAAAATGTAAAATGTATCACTTGATGAGCACTGATCCATCTAGATAACATGGATTTTATCACCTTGAGGAAATCAGATTTGGCTAACTTGGCCATTCCTAGACAGGGCTAGTTGTTGTACAGCATGTGGGGTTTGACCAAATATTTGGAGCTTGAGCAGATCAGCAGGCTTTACTGTCCCCAATTTGTAGCTTGTGCTCTTTTTAGTAAGCCAGATTAGTAAGTAGATCTTTCTTTTTAGCAATTTATGAAGACATTTACTTTATAATATATACTTTATATATTATATATACTTTATAAAGTGGCTATAAGGGGGAACTCTGTATTTTACTTCAAACGCACTGCCTTCCTGCTTGAAAACTTTTGGAATAAGATATCAGCCACAGTGGGAATGGACTTTTTGAGTGGGCCAGCAGACACACACTGACATGCTATGTGAAGGCGTAATAAAACACAATCACCATGTATCACTGCAAAACAGGAAACTCAACCTGTGTTGACCAAATATGGCTGCCTCCAAGTATACGAAACAAGATATTTCAAATATTAACACACTGATAGTATTATTCATATCAAACTGATCTCTTTTATATGTATATCTAAGAAATATTAAGAGGACTATACATTCCTCTTAATACCTGTTTAACTGTGCATGCCAATTCAGTACTGAAAAGTGGGATCACACGCTCATTTAGAACAACTTTAAAATGCACAGTTTATTCTGTGCTTCTTATAAAATGGTAATATAAAAAATGTTTTGAACTGTTTTATGAGAAAGAAACTCTAAGCATAGTTCTGGTAAAAATATAAACTTCTTTGCAAACATACTAAACTATTATCAATAATCTGGGGTCATTGTTTCAATTGTCATTCATATAACTATTGTGAAAGTGTAACCAATACATCGTTATGTCATAAAAAAGAAATGGAAATCACATGGTACATTTAAAGCTGCCTTTTATGACAAGACAGAGGTAGACAGGTAGACAGACATACCTGAGAGCACCGATGTTGTCACCTTGCAATCCTGGACATTTTTGGATGGTTCTTTGATGCTAATTTAACATTCTAAATGTTGAAACTCTTTAGAACAACAAAAGTTTTACTCTACATTTTTAGGTCTTAAGTCTAATTTTAGAGAGCAAAATAATTAGGTTTAAACCCTTCTACACCAGATAGGCTTGTAATTGGAAGCAGGCTAAGAAAGCTACGTATTGATATTTGCTTTGTTTATCTATTGAGATGTTTAAAAGCTTTTTTACTGCTAGTTTCCAGCTTCTTAGCTGAAATAGGACTGCAGGGTTCCACGGCGACGAACATCACAGGTCCAGCAATGGAAACCACCTCCTAAGGAATTCGCATGGCGAATACTCACTTTAACAGTGGAGATACCTGCCAATTTAAACAAAAGTTATAGTTATTATTAACTGAATGCATCATAAGGGAACATATTCAAACAGTGCATGATGCTAATATACATAATTTTAAAACTGATTATCATGAAAAGGCAAATGCTAACACCTAATGGAAGGCAGCATAGAATGATACTTGGGTCTTTTTTAGCTCAACTTGTAACTGAATTGAAATGACAGCAGTGGTGTGTAAATTTAATGTAAAATGCCAGTATCAGCAGACACTTACCCAACTTCTCAAACATCTTCTGAATGGAAGTTTCATTGGCATCCACCATTACACGTTTTTCATCCAACATTAGGACATTCATTGATAGCCATTTTGAGGACATCCACAGAGGATGAGCTAAATAAAATAAGAGAGCATTAAATGATGTTTTAGTATAATTTATGAAGATGTTCTTCTTACTTGCAAGGCATGTAAATGTTTTTTCTAAACAAAGCATCTGTTTGAGTAATTTGTTACAGCAGATACACCTACCATCTTCTTCAATGGCTGTCTGATACAAAGGTCTTGTTTCAGCCAATGTGTCAAAAACCCCAAAACATGTTTTCTCTGGTATTTGCATTTAAATATAATGGCAAATTATGATATGAGCGTATGCATTAATACAAAGTCAATACCTACCATCTGGGATGAGTGGAGTGGGGGGTGTGACAACAGTCCAGCCAGCTTTCTTGAACAATTCGATCTGATCACAGAGACAGGAAACATATTTCAGCATGTGTACTATTGAAGGAAACAAATATGTGCATGCACTTTCAAATGTGTGGCCTAACCTACTGTCTTTTACCTACCTGATGGCAGGGACGATCTGGGTTAGAAAGTACAAGGCCTGGTCCAATAATATTGAAAGTGGCATCAATATGCATAGGATTAGGGTCCTTAAATGAGATAACATGCACCTTGTACTCTGGAGCCAGATGTCTGCGCATCCATTCAATCCCCAGGTAATTTGTTACCTAGTAATAAATTGGAAATTGATTTAATCACATAGATAAAGTGCAGAGCAATAAATAAAACGTAAAATAAATTAACAAAGTAACATTTTACAATTTTATGTCTTTTTTTCTGTGTATAGTCACCATTAAAAAACATTTCAAGGGGCAACAATGTTTTTTAATCTTTAGTTCTGGGTCCTGGGTCTCAAGGAATGTTGCCAAGTCCACCCTTATGGGAATGCTAGCTAACCCCTTTAATACTGGTACACATTCATTTTGGAGGGTCTGTAGATGAAGTACTTGTGAGGGACTGAATTATTCAATTTAGCCATGGAACCAGCATAGATTAGGTGTATTATTAACTAATTAAGTAACTATAATGGTTTGTGGTCAGTGTTGAATAAAATGTCTTTTTTAAGTTTACAAGCTTTGAAAAGTGATATTTTTTTAATTCTTTTTTATTATTTGCAGAAAATTGTTATTGGAAAAAGAAAAGATACAGGCATTATACTGTATGATTGTATGGTGGGTTGTTTTACAAAAAACCCACAATACCCAGCACTGTCTCACTTTCTTAGGCTGACTATATAGAATTGTATCCAATTCACAGGAATTGTCCAACATTTTTATAGTGGGTGGCCCTGCTGGAGTTGATTATTGATTTGGATTTGTCGAAGCAGCCGGCTGATCAGTAAATCAGCTGCAGCCACTGTTCATGCATTCTCACAGTGGTGGGCGCCTATTTTGCAAAATGGTTTGCCAATCTTGCTGCTAAGTAGAGGCTGAATAAAATGCACTGGATCCAGCAGTGCTCTTCAGAAGCCATTGCACCCGTAATAATGTCAGCATGCTGAAGGCAGTAAAATAAAAGGCAATAAAACAGAAAGCATAATGGATGACAGTCAGAGCCAAAGTACCTGGCTTCTCTGTGCAAAGATGTCTCTCCCGGCTCTCATGAAGTCAGCAGCATCAAAACAGGGCTCATGTTCTGTAGTAACAAATTTCCCTTGAGCAGCCAGCTTGTGTCGGTCTTCAACAGTGCGAATAGGATATTCCTGAAAAGCAGACATTAAGAGAAGTCAATATCCAACCTTTGCTATGAGTGCAGTTCCTGATCTTTCCAGCATTTCCCATGCTGTGTCCATCCATCACATGCAATATCTGATATACACACAATAATCCACTCAGTCCATAAGTGTCAGAGGTGTTCAGATGTATTACATGTTTTCCACAGCCAGGTACACCAAGCAAAGGAAAACACAAACAAACACTAAACAAAATGTATATTATAGCAGAGCTGCTTAGATTTGTAAGTATGACATATTAACTATATGTTTAACTATGTTTGTAAACCTGGAAAGGTTGACAACATTAAAATGAGCTGAACCAGAATTATTTTGTGTCTGTGTTAAAGCAGAACTCCGGGCACACATTTTATTAACCCTTGCAGTGGGGCTACAGCACAAGGGCTACCTGCTAATTTTTGTCTTGGTTAAAAAAAAATGATACTCACCTGATCCTCGGAGAGTGAGTATAACTTTTTTTTTTCTTAATCTAGGCAAAAATTAACAGTTGCCCCCTAAAAACGAGCGACTACCCCTGTACTGCAAGGGTTGATAAAATATGTGCCCGGTGTTCTGCTTAAATACCATTGGGAGTATGTAAAAGCTATATTATGTCTGTTCCTGCACCCATCACTGAATCAACCAAACTGATAGAGGATTCCTACATTTCCAGTTTAGGAATGACCTAGAGTATTGCAATACATGGGTTTTTTTGTTTTTTTTAGATTAGGGTTTGCATTAGGGTTATGCTATATTACTACAACCAGTTTAAAAGCTTAAAATGTGAAAAATTCAATACGTTATATATCTTAAGAGTTCTGAAATACATATTGGTGTACTGTAAATTAATGACCATAAAGTAGATGTCTTCTATCTGCTATTTTTTCAGGTATTAAGGTCATATTATAGATCACGTAAAAAAAATATTTTCATCTCAGGACCTCAGAAATAATAAATGACCTAGATGGTGATTAAACCTAGCAGTTGAGGTCATGTGTACTGTGTTAATGATAGGTTATGGATTACACTAAATTGCACCATAGCGCCCTCTGTTGGAGAAAAGACAGGTACAGTAGTGTTCCTGTACTGTATATAACAGGATGTCGCTCATAAGATGAAGGGTGGGATGGAAAATTGTTTCCTGCATTGCTCACTTCAGTCTGTATTTTAGACTGTTGTCTAATCATATTAGACAGGCTAGGTTTGACAATAAATTTGCTTTTTTAACTACTTAATATTTGTCAAAACGTTTTTTATTTTATATAAAAAAATTGTGCTATAATTCTCTATTTTGTGTTACAACCACGGCTGAACCTATTTCTTGCATTCAAATTATTTTAGTGTTACACTAGAATAGAATCCTAATGGCTATGCAAGCTTCAGTCAAGCTGTGAGTCACTTAGGGACTCCGAGATGGATGCCATAAGTGATGTCACCTCCTACTATTGTTTTCTTGTAGACAGTAAACTAACATAGTAAGCAGATTTTTTTGGGAATGTCTGGGACACTAAAAAATATCAGACTGTGTTATGCAGTGGAGTTGATTCAAATAGTGCACAGATCTAAAAATATTTTTTTTTTAATGCAAATATGTGAACTGCACTACACTGTGTGATCATAATATGTGTGAGAATAGGAATAAATGATTTATAGTAGGATTGTTTCTAGTCGCTGCATAGCTTACATGCTATTTGAACTTTATAATGGCGAATAGTCATAATCAACAGATTATATGTAAATTACCATTGTTTCGTTTGCACTGTGCCATTTGGCACTGCTGTTGTAAATTGCTCTTCTCATAATAATGTGTTATAACAGAGATCATTCCATGAGTTCAGCACAACTGAGAGATCTTTGCACAAAGTATCTATAAATGTTACTAATCAAGTATCTCTTTCATTCTGCACTATAGTATAGACTGTATTAATACAGCACTAATTAAAATATTTTAATTTCCAGTATATTTTCTGCTGGTCAGCCATTAATAAAATGAACCTTCTTTGGCAAAGGATATAGACCTTACTCCAGTATGCATTAGTTTAACTTGTTTTAAAAAGATATGCTTACACACAAATTTGACTTCATGAGATCAGATTAAATAATAACGCTGTATGGACTATGTTTGCACTCAGACATACACAACACATGTGGCATAGACACAGGTTGCACAGGACACACAGTATACCAGCAGACACAAAACACACCTGCCATCATGCTGCAGAGAGGAGCCAGGGCCCCGCAAGAAGCCGCGGCTTGTGCTCTTCAGTACCCTCTGGTGGTTGGGGAGTGCAGAGAGCTGCACACTGCCAGCATCTCCTCTCCTTTTCTCCCTCCCCTTTTTGCAGTCCTGCCACCAAGGATACATGAGAGATAGTGCCAATAGAGGAGTAAAAGCTGGAAAATGTAGCATGTTAGCCCTTTCTATGTCTAAAATCTTAGCACAATGTAAAATAAAATAGTGAAAATATAAATCTCGTCTGCCAAGTTATCTGTTAGAAATAGATCTTGTTCTCACCTATGCTTATTCTTAGTTTTATATAAAGGTTAAGTCCAGTAGGAGCTGGTAATATAGTACTGGGTAGATGTAAACTGCTTGAAGCACCCACAGACTTCTTATATCTAATCTATACTCCAATGGCGAGATTACGCAGACTCCACCTTCTATTTGCTGGGGCCATTAAGAACATAAATGATTCCAGGCCAAATTATAGCATGTAGTTACACTTTCTCGGCTGGATTTTCCATAGGGATTGCTTAAGAATTAGCAGTATCAGGCCATCATTGCACCCCAAAGAAACAATATGTTTTTTCTGGTATGGGTAATGATGGTGAACTTTCAAGAAGTTAAGGAAGAAGAGTTCATTGCTGATAACCCAGACAGATCTAAGAATATAGCAGAGGACTTGACTTGTAGCTTCCTCCCAGTAGTGATTTATCAGCTTTGCATAGACTCGCCCTTTTGTCGAAAGAGTATAGCTACTTTTTCTGATTTTCTGAATGTTATGTTGCTATATATTTTAAAGGCCTGGAAAAAGAAAATAATTTATAATGCATATTTCTGAATTATTAGCTTAGCCACTAAAAGGTATCACTTTGACAATACTTTCCCTTTTCCTCCTATGTATCTATTCCTGGCTAATACAATACATCACTAGCTTTTGCTTTCCGAAACATCAATTTCTAATTTATACTCTGAATATTTTTGCAATGCTCTTTAATTAACTGAATAAGGACATTTTCTATTTGTTTTTATATTGCAATATAAAAGAACATATACATGAAAAATGTACCGGAGGAGAGTTTACCTGGTCATAGAGCTCATCAGCCATTGTTGGTTTAGGTGCTGTGGTCCATTTCGCCCCACGACGGAAATAATCCTTAATTAAGGGACGGTAGGCCCTGTATTCAAAGAATCGGGACCTCCATGCCATAGGAGCTTCAATGATCTCGTTACCAACAACCAGCAGGATGTCTCTAGGCATAGCAGCATACAGACCTGCAATAGAACAAAATCATGGCTTATTATCATTTTTCTAGTCTGGGCATGTATAGAGCAACCTTTTTTTCACTCAGTGATCTTCTCTTCACACAACATGCACATCCACCCTGATCTGCTCTGTGATCAATGAAGCAGGAAGCGCTGTGCATTTAGCACTTCAGAGCTGTCACAAACCTGGCTGAAGTGCCAGGTCAACAGACAATCAAGCACAATCCTAGGCTCGGTCACCTGTATTGGAGAGCAGGGGAAACATATCTCCATAAAGAGAACTTGTCACCTCCAAATGCTGTCACACAGGGGCTTGTTATCCCCTTTTTGATAGAAAGACCAAGTGAAAAAATTTGAAAATCAAAAAAGAAAAAAAAAAGGGATAAAAAAGTAAAAAAATAAACAAATAAATTAAAAAAAAAAAATGTTTTCAACCATTGGTGGCTATATAAGTGTTTGAGATGATAAACAGAATGGAAGCACTTCAAAGCTTTAAAAAGTGATGTCACCTCCTGAACCACTAGAATAATTCCATTTTGCTAGTGTTTGGGTCACCTAGCATTTGTGAACTGTTTTTTTATGTTGACTGTTTCCTTAAGTGGTCACACATTTCTACTATTCTTTCAGCTTTAGTTAGATGATATAATGTTGTTCAGTAAAAACACACACAGATAGTCATTACGGTAATACAGCAATACCATTAGCACTCCAGGATGGTTGATGATGTAGCCCATCACCTGGCAGAGGAGTGGTTAATCTGTCCCATATATGTTACGTCAGGGAGCAGACATTCCCTCAATGGTTAGTGCAAGCCCACGCATATTGTGGAACTGGTTATTATGGTTGAAAGCCATTTGCTGTCATGACAACACACACACTGGCATGAGAATCCCAGCAACAAAGCTTCTACTCATGAGCTCGGAGTGGATTGTTTAATGAATGTCCTTTTCATCTGCTTGCCTGTGGAAAGACAAGTGCCCCTCAACAAGATATGACCACTATGCTCTGGGGCTTGCCTATGCTAATGACTGGCATGCTTCAAAACAAAATAATAGAAGGCCAGCTTATAACATTTAACCTGATTAAAAAGTGAAAGTTACCGGTACAAACTTTTTTCTTTTTTTTTTTTTACCAGAGTATTGCAGCATGAGGGACTTTATACAAAGACTTATCAGCCTCCTGCGATTTTCCCATGCTAGAGAAAAAGATTAGTCACTTTTATTTGAACAAAGCTGACCTCTTCTGAGTTAGCTGCGTATAACACATAGCAAAGTCCAAAGCAGGTCATTCATTAAATTGTGACAGTTTAATCTACTGCATACTCTGTGTATGGGGGGTACTGTTAACCCCAAGATTTAACACTGGAATAAGCACAGTACTAAAACTTTTTTTCTGCAAACTTAGGTTGATGACTGTGCTCATAAGTATGCGTGATCTACAAGGAGGGCAAAGTAACAAATACCCCGATGGATGTTCTTAATCTAATATATGAGGGCAATAGGAGAGTAGATGAGTCTTTCTTCAGTGTGACTTGTTCTTTACTAAAGCATTTTTAGTGGTATAGTTACTGACCAAAAGTGAGAAATAATTGAAATTAATTGCAGGTGCCGACTGTCTGCATCCAAGTGCAGGCACCTGGACCTGCACTGATGTGCACATTCAGGTCCGCGTGTACCTGCATGCAGCTGCACCCTCCCATAGGGATGTACAGATAGCTGCACACATTTGCACGGTGCATATGTCCCTCCCAGGAGCAGGTCTCTGCAAGGGTGTGTATGTCGTACAGATTTGCACGTTCTTGTGAATGGTGCCTTAAAGTGACACTAAACTCAGGAATCAAATTTTAAAAATGCATTCAAGTACCTCAACTATCAACAAAATATATCTTGTTTGTGTATCACTCAGCTATAGATCCTCAATTTATCTCTGAATTTATGCTGACGCTGTCCTTCCTTCTGGAGGGTGGCTACTTTTGTTCCCCATGGTCCCTGTGTGTTGTAAAGTAGTCAACACTCCAAGCTCTCTTCCATGATAGACTACAACTTCAGTATAAATTAGTAAACTAAACGTGAGATTGTAGTTCATCACAGGAGTGAGCTTGGAGCGGTGACTACTTTACAACACACACAGGAACCATGGGAAACAAAAATATCCCCCCTCCAGAAGGAAGGACAGTGTCAGCACCAATTCAGAGATGATTTGAGGATCTACAGCTGGGTGATACACAAAAAAGATAAATTTTTGTTCATAGTTAAGGTACTTGAATGCGAGAGGGTATGATATGTGGTGTTGTTGGACCAATGTTGTAAGATGTGCCCCTGAGTGTTGGAACTCAGGTGATTACTGTGTATTTTGTACTGTTGTTTATATGAAAAATCTAATAAAAACAATTAAAAAAAAAAAGGTACTTGAATGCGTTTTTAAGATTTAATCCTTGAGTTTAGCGTCACTTTAACCTCCCTGGCGGTATTCCTGAGTGTAGCTCGGGGTTACTTTTCCATACCATATGCGGTAACCCTGATCTACACTCGGGAATGACGCATAGCATTTAGTTACCTTGTCCCTCGAGCAGCGAGCGCTGTGTTCTCCGGCCGATGCCGGCATCCGTCTTCCAGGTTCCGTCCCTTGCAGGCGTACGCATTGCAGGGGGGCGGAACCCCAACAAAACCGAAAAAATTTGAAAAAAAAAATAGAACGAAAAATGACACGAAAAAAGGAAAAAATCATACCGCCAGGGAGGTTAAAGTTCATTTCATTTATTGAGAAAGCCGAGTGCAGAAAAGTAGCTTACCTGTAGATTCGAAGTCAGGTGTTTTATACTGAACTGACCAATCAATTACTTCAGGTCTTTGGACAATAACGCCTTCATGTCGTAAAATATTGCACATTTCCTCCATTTCCTGTACAGCTTTCTTCACGTGTTCGTGAGGAAAGCTCGCTCCTCCATATTTCTGATAGAAAGGCCAGTACTTTTCATATGTGTTGGCCTAATATGGACAAAGAGAAATGCACATTTTATGCAATTGCTTTAAAAATAATGTTCAAGCCATTTTCTCATGGAACTACCGCAAAAAGTCTGGTAATGCGATATGTCACTTTAGAACATTGTAATTTGTCTATCAACTGACATCTGTCACCCTCATCTACATCTCTGACTTCTCAGCCTATGTTATATAATACAGTCATTTCAGCTTCTCTTTTACTCTCTGGCAAAAATATTTTAAGAAACAGATGCAACACTAGATGTCACGGACAGCTGCCTCCTGACGCTAGTTAATGGCTTTGCCAGACCAGCGCTGTCACTATTGCATTTCTCTGTTAACGACTATGACGACTATGCTTTTAACCCTTACTCTTCCCTGGCTGGCTTTTTAAAAGGCTGCCATAAAGCCGAGTTTTTAATTGTCCCATCATGAGCTATTGATACATTTACTGCCACTGTTTCATTCTGAACAGCAATGTGTGGCTTTAATCACGCATTTATTAAAAAGAAAGCCTATCAATGAATGCCGCCTGTCTGCCTCTGTTAATGAATTGCTAAAGTTGGGTAGATTTACTTCTTCTTAAGGAAGTGTATAGTTTGTATGCACTTTATTTATTATGGTTAGGGCAAAATAAAATAATTATTCGTTTATTAATCAGGCAAGTATAAAATATTGCATATGAATATTCTGTAGTTTTCTAGGCAGCCAACAGGTGGACCTCTGGGCTCCTTTTCACTTGTTTTCCTTTGTCTCCTTAGCACCAGCTTTAAAGCAGAATTCCAGGCAAATAAAATCTTAAGCCAGCCTGCAACCAAACAAGTAGCCCTGTCAACAGTATGCGTTAAAATCAGAGGTTTTAGTTGCACAGACTTTTGGGCAAAAATATGTAGAAGCCACACTGACGCGCCAAGGCACCTCTGCAAAGTGTGGTCCTAACTCTGTGTATCCGAGTCTCCAAGTGTGAGCATATTAATGAAGTCGATAGATTGCATGCAGGTGTACCTGGAGGTAGCCTACTCCTCCTAATAAGGTGCAGGGACGCACGGGGGGCCCAGCAACCAAAAATGCACGCTGGGACCCCAGTGCATCCCCCAAACCAAAAATAGTCAAACTAGAAAAAAGTGGTACATGCATGAATCCATAAGCAGCCTCTATAGCAGGGAGCACACCGGGAAGGCCCACAACAATACAAAACACAAAAATTCCCCAGCCTCAACCCGCCAGCCAGCCTGCAACCAAACAAGTAGCCCTTGTGTTTTGTGTTTTGTATTGTTGTGGGCCTTCCCGGTGTGCTCCCTGCTATAGAGGCTGGTTATGGATTCATGCATGTACCACTTTTTTCTAGTTTAAATAAAATCTTAACCCTTGCAATGGGGCTACCCCTGCATTGCAAGGGTAAGTGCTCATTTTGTCTAGGGTGCTAAAATAAAAAAAAGTTATACTCACCCGAACCATGATCCTGGCTTGCTCTTAGACTGGTCCTTTCAGCTCCCCCTCCGCTCCAGCAGACAAGGTATGGGACGTGAGGGACATAACATCGTTGGATCGGAGAAGGAGACAGGCTGGAGGGAGCATTGTAAAAGCAAGCCAGTATCGCAGTTCGGTGAGTATAAGTTATTTTAGCTCCCTAAAAATAGCAAGCACTTAACCCTTGCAGTGTGGGGGTAGCCCCACTGCAAGGGTTAATATTTATTTTGCCCGGAGTATTGCTTTAACAAAGTCGGTTATTTACAGAGCACAATAGCACAAGTAAAGTTCGCACACACAAAATGTGCCATGTCTTTAGATAACCTATAGTGCTCTGGTAACCCTTTGTTTTTTTTGGTAAAACAAAGATTGTATACTCAAATTAAAGGCAGATATAAAATATAATTTTTAAATATGTATTAATGTAAAAAAAAAAAAATACAATTGACCTTAAACCTTTATAGTTTTCCTTTAAGGAAAATGAAGTATGTGTATTTCCCTAAAAACAACAAAAATACAAAAGTAAGCTGCAATGTCCACATCTGGTTATTACATGTAGAAAGCCTTCTTCTTGAAAAGACAGATATAATGGTAAGGGTAAATACATAGGCCAGTCATGCTGGGCCCCTCATGGCTGTTGGGGTGGTTGCACCCTGTCTAGTTACACCAGTGGCAGAACTACTGCCGTAGCGGCCACTATTTGGTCTGGGGCAGAGGGGGGCCTGGAAAGCAGCAGGAAGGAAGGCTCTTCAATGGGTTCCTAGTACCGGCCCGCGGGCCAATTTTATCCTGTGAACCAGTACCATCTGGCCCACAGCTACAAGGCCTGAATCTCTGTCAGATGCAGACTTCATAGTTGCTCCTGTCAGCTCCGGCACTCACTGGCTCCTTTCAGCCGGAGCTCTGACAGTTCTGAGCTCTGGCCGAAAGGATTGATTAGTAAGGTCTGCACCAGACCTTACTAATCAACCCCTGGATCACCAGGGGTTGTGCGGGTGACTGCGGAGGAGGTGGGGGAGGAGGAGCCCCATCAATGCCAGTCTGCATTAGAGTGTAAGCTCCTCTGTACAGAAACTAATGTGACTGGCTCAGTGTTCTCTGAGCTATATAAATATATAATAGAGTGAGACTAGACTGTGGGGGGACCACAAGTACCAGCATGCTATTAGTAGGGGGTGGGGGGGGCTAGCCATGTAGTCTGTATGGGGCCCCATGATTTCTAACGGTGGCCCTGTGTATAAGACCCCATTAACACTTGTAAGTTTAGGTGTAATTAAGGATTCCTGCGTCAAGAACTTTCGTTTTCCTGCAGCAAGAATCCCTAATCTAGCGTTTACAAGCAGCAGCTGTCACCCATTTACGTTAATGATCAGGTGACAGCCACTGCATGTAAACGCTTGCACACTGCATGTAATGGTATTTGATATAATTACATGTAGTTAGGAATCAATTACTATCCTTGTGTGCATCGATCGTGCATCCAGGGATAGTGATTTGATTCTAATTGCATGTAATCATGTCATATATAATATATGCTGTAGATCAGGCATGACTGTAGCAATGTGTTGTTCAGTGGCATTTTTTTTTTTGGGGGGGGGATACAACATTTTTCTATGGGGCCTTGTGATTTCTAGTTACGCCCCTGAGTTACACCCTAATACAAGAAGCAAGTGAAGGCAGCTCTGTAGGCCTTTTTGCACATGTTTTTATAGTACATTACATTTCTTTCAACATTCACAAACCACAATGTATTCAGAAGGGAAGATTCCCCTGGGAACATGTCTTGTACAGTCTGCTGTTCCTGTCTCTAAGTGATGAGCTCTGCAGCCAAACAAGAGCCCCAGCTGCCCCATGCTTCTCATGTGATATTTCTCACATTCTTCCCATGTCCACGTATTTCTAGTAGAATCAAATAGTGTCTATTTAGTCATTAACACAAGTATGTAACACCGCTGTTATAGTCCCCCTATTCTCATAAATATACCATGTGTGCTAGCTAACAGAAAGAATGAATAAATATGTTATTAATTTAATGACACAACAAACATTCCGGCAAAGTATGGCCCTAACAACATAAGTAGAACATGAAAAAGCCATGCTTTAGAAGGCGACTATAATGCTTCCATGGTAAGTTTTATTTTACATTTTCTTTCCACGTACATGTTTATTAAAGCTTATCTCTGTGGGGAAAACTCCCCTTTCAATGGGTCTATCCCTGCACTGCAAGGGTTAACTGCTTGTTATTGTCTGAGTAACATGTGTAATGGGCATTTTCTTACCTGAACCCCGCTCCCACAGGCTGCAACCTCTCGCCCTGCTTTTGGCTGGTTGAAGGCCTGCTGACATCATCACGTACAATGCAGGGCCCATAGCCTTGCATTATACAGGAGGATGGTGACAATCCACATGCTGGAGCAGAGGGCAGGGAGGTGAGCACCGACTGCCAGGTAAGAGGGGGTCAGGTAAGTAAAAGTCCTTTATACAATACCCCTAGGCATGAAAGAGCAGTTAACCCTTGCAGTGCTGGAGTAGCCCCACTGCAAGGGGAGGTTTTTTTCCCCTGGAGATAGGCTTTCAGTGATATATTCTTATAACTGTTTGAATTGTATATAAACTGTATTTTATAAATAAACACTTAAAGCTGAAAGCTGGCCATCTTCAAAAGTGTATCTTGCAGTGGGACCCCACCACACTGCAACAGTTAATTGCAATTTTGTCCAGGGGGATTGGAAAAGGCAGAAATACTTACCTTGTGCCTTATACCTGCAGGCTTCCTTCCAGCTGTACAACCATTCCTCAGAAACTGCTTCTTTATGCTGCTCCTCCAGGTACAGTCCCTCTGATATCATCATGTACAATGCTGTACCAGCAGTCCTCCCATATACCGGGAGAAAGCAAAGAATCACACCAGCCACCAGGGGAGCAAGGAATAAGGTAAGTATTGTGCTCATTTCAATCCTCCTAGACAAAACAAGCAACTTATCCCTGCAGGGTGAGGCGGAGACACTGCAAGATGAATTTATGTAAGGTGCTTCCATGGCACCTTGAAAATTGGGCTTTTCCAATAAGATAGCCCAGCACTGCATTTTGTAATTGTTCTCTGTTTATGTTTATGAGCCGCTTGTTTGCTAGAAGAGAGGTAGGAGAGGGGTTAGGTTAGACGTGTTCATGAGCAGTTAACCCTTGCAGTGGGCGGGGGGCACTGCAAGGGCTAATAATAATTTTCCCTGGTTCTGCTTTAGGCTATTCAGGCTATTCACAGCATAGCAGAACTGAGCTTGGTAAAAAGGCAAAGTATGCCCCCTGCTGGTTGTACTGTGAAATCTGAAAAATCCATATGCAATATTTTACATTTATCTCCCTACAAAGAGAAAAACATTTTAGTCCTGACCTTAATAAATAAAATATATCTGAAAACATTATACATTCTCTTAAAATGTTTGATTGTTTGTGTTGTAAATATTCACAAATGGTTGGAGATCTTCAATTGCACTGAATGTGGAAATCAGTAAATCACAAGTGTTGTATATAAATATGTTAAATTGTGTATCATGTATGTACCGTTCATAATGTTACTTTCAATACCTTGCTTTTAAAAAAAAAAAAGAAGTTACAAAATGAACCAATATTTTTATTTTTTTTTACAAATTTAAGTGTACTACAGTCATATAATAAAAAAAGGTTGCTCTGCCAAAAAACTGCAGTGCCAATGTGAATGTGCCCACAGGAGGGTAAACCACTCTTGTGTTTAAAGTGTGCCTAAGAAAAGCATGAGCTGAAAATAGGAGCCATCAGTGATTGTCCCCCCACTGTGGAAACATCCACACGCCACATTCTATTAAGTATTCATATTCTATCCACAGACCATATTTGCAATATTGTATTGATATTAGTAGGAACACTGGATGGCACTGTAGCTGGGAAGCTCTGAGATCCTCACGCTCACACCTGTGCACACATTACTCTTGGCAGCATTGCAGCCTTTTGGGAAAATGTGTTGTTTCAACCGAGGTTAATGCGTGTATTGTGAGAAAGTAGAGGCAACAGTTGTCTGTGTTTGTTTGGCAGAGCCTGGCATAAATTAGAGCCTTACCTTCAATTCCTGTGTAAACAGACATCAAATAAATGAGCAGCTTACCTTGACTTCCACTGTGAATGGAGGAACACTTGCATTTTCTGGTCTCCCCACAATGACTTCCTCCAGGGGGTCCCACTCATTGTAAGAGCAGACAGGAGAGTCTTGGGGGACGGTTTCGTCAGCAGTGCAGGCTTTCTGGGCAGCCGCAGCTGCCTGGGTGCTCTGGAAAGTTCGCTGCACCCATCCGACGAAGCCCTTGCTCAGCTGAAATGACAAGAGAACCCTAATAAAGGCAAAGCACTCCCAAATTGTTTTTTTTGTACTGAATATAATATAAGGAGAAAAAAGGTTTTAGATAGAGATATATACACACACACATACATTTACTAAGGCCTTAAGCGCAAAAGTAAAAAGGCTTTTAAAGGCATTTTTCATTTTTTTATGTCTCTGATCGCAGTTCTATTTCATCCAATATGTTCAAGCGCATTCTGGCATTCAGTTCCGACTTTTAGAGCAACGTTTAGGGGCATAGAAAAAAATGCAGTGTTTTGAGAGGAGCTTACTAGCATAATTTATGTGCAAATGTTCATAAATAGATGCAAATGTGCGTTTATGATCACAAATTAATTCTAGGGCCTAGAATAGATGAATATTCTAGCCAATAGAATTAGTTTACACACATATGCCTCCGAATGCCATATGTGTGAAAAACGCAACGCGAGTGATTATGCATTATGTGAGCACTTTATACGCTGGATTTTTCTACCAGCTTCTGGAAGATAGATTAAGCATGGATGGGAATTTTAATACACCTGTGTGCATGAGTCCTAAAGGAGTAGAGGTGGTTGACTTAACAACGTGAAGGTTCACTATGTAAAGCGAAAGTTAATATGCTAGTAAATAAGATACAAATGGGGCTACTTTGAATACCCATCATGTGCAAAGATTAGTAAGTCCATTAGTAAGTTAAATCCAATATAGTTATTTATGCGCATCTTGCGCTCTCTCTCTCACTCTCTCTTTCTCTGTACAAAGTAGGTATAGGGGAACTCACGGATCTTGCAGCAGAGATTGACAATAGACCATTGACAATAAAATGTTGAGGCTTTGACTTATCACTGCTGCATGACTGGTGAGTACCTCTACTTTGGATGTGTATGGATACACCCACCCAGGCATTTACAGTACCTTACAAACTGGTCTATACAGAGAGATATATATATATATATATAATAAATTCATAAATGTGTTGGTAGAAATGTGGATGTGTTAGCATGCATCCTCCTAGTGGTGGCTGGGGACAGTGCAGCTTACATGCCGTACAGTATGGCTGGAATGCACGCTCTTGCAATAAGGGCCTGTTGTCTGTGCTGAGATTAATGGCCTTGTAGTAAGTCAGTCATGCCACGCTGCACGTACACATGTGACATATGTTATCAACCACTCCAAAGAGTTACACTGTGCTCTTGGAGAAGCAGTGGTCAAAGTAAACCATGTAGCAGCTGCTGTAAACAAGATTACAGCTCCTATCTTATCAGGCACCTCTGAGCTGAGCATGTGGTCTTCCTATGGACAGAGCACTTCCTATAGCTTGCCTGGCTTGAAAAGCTGGTATGGTTTGCACAATTGTTTGTTTAACCCCTTCTATGTAGGCTGGATTTGCAAAATCAGCAGTCTGGTTCTATAAGCTATAAAAATAATTCCTCCTCCATATGATTAGCAGAATAGTTATACAGAATAATTTTACAATTACAGGCAACATTAATATTTAAGGATATGTAAGCACTTCCAGCAGTTTCAGCCAGTGGCGCACAATAAGGGATCCTGTGCAAAACCAATTTTTGTGCCCCAATTTAACTGCTGGCCAAATAAAATGACTAAAGTTGCCCATACATTGAATGATTTTCATTTGGAAATCGTACATGAATGATCTTTTGAACGAAAATCAAACACTTGATGGTACATCACCGACTTTCGTTTTTGATATTGTGATTGAAATTCTTCAATCGGTCAGGTTAGAAATATTTTCTCTGATCGAACGCAAATCGGTGGGGTTTTCGTTCGTCAAAAATCACAGCAAGAACACAGCACATGCGCAAAAGGAAATTATTTCCGTCGTTCGTCAAAAATTGGTTGGTTAGCATGGCTAACGAACGATTTCCGAAATCGACATTTGACTATGCTTGATGGGGAAGTCTAGGTATATTTGAACGAGGGTTCGTGGCAGAAACTAAACATTTTGAACCAAAATCCTACAATGTATGGCCACCTTTGCTGAATATCGAAAGTCATGCCCAAACATGTCACATCTACCCAAGATTATATATAATCAACAGTACCCCATACTAAAAGGTAACAGGACATTTATTTGTGACCAATAAAAATGGTGTTTTAAGGCTGCTGAGAAACGTTTCGAGACCACGCAGGGTCTCTTCATCAGGGCATAAAGAGTCAAGAGTCTTTATGCCCTGATGAAGAGACCCTGCGTAGTCTCGAAACGTTGGCTCTTATGATTGTGTGATGTCTATGTCCAATAAAAGGACATGTTGGATTATTCTACTGAGTGCTGGTGATTCCTCTTCCTACTTTTCACTATAGCACCCGCTGGATATGCTCTATTGCTGTATAGAGTGTGCTGGATTTATTGCATCCAGCACCCATCTGACCCACATTTAGTAAAAATTGACCTCTAAGGGGTCTATTCACGAAGCTGCCGAAGGATCTAGCCGTAGCTTCGGCCGATCCTTCGGCTAGCTTCGGCCCCAGGACCACTTCGGTTCAGTAGAACCGAAGGGGTCCTGTACGGGCTATTCACTATACTCGAACGTGGCAGAGCAGCTCAGTCGAGCCAAGCGCATATGCATCGGCTCGGCTGAGCCATGCTGAAAGCCGAAAGCCTGCTTCTGACAGCTGGGCGGAGCCTGCCGTGATCTTACGGCTGGCTCCGGCCACTTGCAGAGAGATCAGCGTCCCTGGTTACCTGCTAACCAGGGACACTGATCTCCAAACAGCTAACTCTCCCTGGCGCCCGGGAGTCTCCTGCTCCCGGCCGCCAAGGAGAGAAACACTGCTATTTCTTTTTTTCTTCACGGAGTGATGTCAGAATAGAAAAGAAAAAAAAATGTTTCCCATTGAAATGCATTGCTACATTACTATTGGCTATTTCAATTTGCAATAGCCAATGGTAAACTAGCATTGTACCCGCCCTCTGCTGCACTTCAAAGTTAATTCAGCCACTGTTTTGCAAAACATTGAGTGCTGTTGGCTGCTTTGGGAACTGGGTGATAATAATTTCAGCAGTGATCAGTCCAGTAATATACCAGCATGTAATAATATAAATAATAGCCACATTACTATAGTCCTGGATATATGCAAATAATATTGTCATCACCCAGGACATGGTGAATGTGTACAGTTCATTGGGAGCCTAATAAAAACTAATGGCATTCACTAGGAGCACATAGGCCCCCCGTTCACACCATAGTGTTGCTCTAACGGCATAGTATCCTAAGTGTCCTGGTGCATTACCATTAATTCTAAATAGCACCCCAACGCAGCAGAGCACAGCGTGCCTTAACACAATACCATGCATTGTGGTGATTAAAAAGTAATGCATGCACTAATTTTTTCACCGCAGCACAATGCACACCTGTCAGGGGGTGCAATGGGGTGCTATTCAGAAAAATAGCAATGCAAAACACTAGCGCACCTAGAATGTGCGGCATTGCATTGTGCAATAGCATGCACTAAAAGCATGGGCACCATGTCTGTAGCGCAATGCTGTGGTGTGAACAGGACCATAAGGTTCAAATCAAAGTTAGGCAGTGAGAACCTAACTGCTTTCCACCTGGTGGCATGAAGCTCATTCCCAGGCATAAGGAAAGATACTAATCTAGATTGGCTATAGTCCATTTCTGTGATGTGCTACAAAATATCAGGGTTGATTTACCAAAAAAGTGAATGTTTACTAAACTTCGTGAATTAAAAAAAGGTGTGTTTGCTCTGAACTTTGAACACCCAATCATGTGCGAGGGAAAGAAAACCAGGATTTTTGCTTGCACATGATTAGATGATTGAAGTAAACACATCTTCTTCACATTATTTACTAAGCTAGGTGAACATACACTTTGAAATGGGAGCATTCACTTTGCTAAGTAAACAGTTACAAGCATGTAGCTGTAGGGCTATTACTGGATACATATGTTTTATATCAACCAAAAAGAAGCAAAAACCATATGATCATGTAAAACTGACCCAAAGGTCAGCGACTCATTTTTACCACATCTGTGGAACTACAAGTCCCAGCACACTAGTGCATTGACTTTTCTGTTTTATTCGCAAGAACAGCCTAACTCACTGCTGAAATAAGATAGTAGTTCTGCTCCTGCCTTTATTTAAAAAGAAATTTCCTTAGCGCTCTGTAAAGTAGAGAGTGAGTTTTGATGCCTGGGCTCTGAATTTGGGGGGGAGGTGGCATTCCAGAATGGCCTCTTCACTGGGAACTGTATTTTTAGCAACAGCTGGAGAGCTTTCAGCCACTCCTGAAACAACCCCACATGGAGAGTCAATAAAGTAGATTGCATCGTGTGGCTTGGGGGGGTTATTTACTAACAAAGGGCCAGTATGCAGAAACCAGTTCAATGTAATGAGTGCAAATTGAATGAGGAAACTCAAACCCCTAGATGTTGTACACACCCCTTTGTCAGCATATTTACAACTGTATTAACATTGTTACATAATAACACAAAGACGTAAATATTTTTACACTTTGTAGCCATTTTAAGACCATCCATAACCCCCCACACACACACACACACACACGTACACACACACACACACACACGTACACACACACACGTACACACACACACACAAACACACAAAGTTATATGTATTAATCAGTAAGGCCACGTTTTAATCATGATAGCTGGCTATAGACATGAGATGAGCATAGACTGGCAACAATAATATGTAGGCATCGTGGCCATGTTCTAGGGGCAATGATCAGTCAGGTAGGATTGAAGCCCATCCCTATTTTTAGAACTGCTTCGTTAGCCATAACTGTAAATGCCCAGATAGCCAGATCATGCCATTTTATATCAACACCCGACCAAAGAGGAACCTTGCAATCATATTGATGTACCTAGCTGTCATGTGAGACCTATGGTCAGATTTAGGATAACTTCAAACAATTTGAATTTATTTTCAGTTTTGGAGCACTGGTGAAATGTATGACCTCTCTGTCAGGTTTTTGTTCATGTCCTGATGACAACATTGGACAGGAAGTGGTGAGGAATGTTTCTAATGGTGTCACATGCAGCAAAAAAAGTTATTCTGCCTGATACAAAAAAAGTTTGCTGGAGTTGAGCTTTAAACCAACTGAGCACAGATAGAGATTATCTCACAATATTGGCAAAATCGCTGCTGTTGTGTGATAAACTACCCTTGTATAGATATAGAAATAGAGTTTAAAATGTTCACAATTTGCTTGGGTATTTCAAGTTCTAAAGAAAATCTTTTCACCTAATTA